ATTGCTAAGGACTTCATTTGGACAACTTTAAAGGCGATTTTCTCAATATTTAGGTTTTTATTATTTAATTTAATGAACTTTTTTTTTTTTGCACCCTCAGATTCCAGATTTTCAAACAGGCCTAGTTGTATCTCGGCCAAATATTGTGCTATCCTAACTAACCATACATCAATGGAAAGCGTATTTATTCAGCCTCTCAGATGATGTCCAGGGTCACATTTTACAATACAATAAAATAAAAAATAAAGTTAAATATAAATATGAATGAATTAATGGATCCGTGTCATTCAATAAGGTTCATCACAAACTGGTTGCGTTGCGGAAGCGCGTCACATTGTTTACAACTCAAACGGATACGGGTTATTTGTAGGCGGCAGCATAGCCACGAATTCCTCAGCGTGACTTAATATCAACCACAATGTCTGTTTTATCTGCTTATGTACTATATTAATGTGTCACATATTCAAAGCGAGTCAGAGCATCGCAAACAAGGTTAGTGTGCTATTCATAACAGCAAATGTACGCCACTGCACAGAAATAAAGTCTCGAGTTAACCAAATGCGTCTATATTTCAGGAGATACTATATATGGGATAATAGTTTCTGGTTTTGATGTATGATTTGAAAATAACATTGTATTGATTCGTTTTGTAAACTTTTTTTTGTTACCATTGAATTAGGCTACTAAACAAATTCCACAGACCTGAAGTATTTACAGTACAACAGAGGCTATGCCTAATATTGAGGACATTAAATGAGTACATGCATATGGAATATTTATGCAAATATTTTGCAAGACAGTGTTTCAAATATAGTGTCAAATATATGATTAAAAAATATCACAAATCTCCTAGTCAAGATAATGTATCTCAATAAAGTGTCGTTGCCACTGTTGATGAAGTTACACCGTGTTCTATGTCATAAATTTCATTTTCGGTTTCACAGAAAATTAAGTATTTCATACGGAAAACCAGACGCTGCCGATCAGTTTAAGTTATGACAATGCTGAGCAGTAAATCCAACGAGGAGATCAGATGGATGCTGGATGATTATGGAATAAAACATGGTCCTGTGGTCGGTAAGTTAATAGTCACTGTAATCAGAATGGGGTTGTTGCATACTATTATTTTATTTAATTTAAATGTGTTTTTAATGAGTTTTTTGTATCTTATTGTTTTCATTTTAGTTCATGTTTTAGTAATCTTTGGGTTTGTCATTTTTATGTCTGCATAGTTGTCTTGTCTACATAGTTTTCATTCATTTTAATTTCAGTTTTATTTGAGCTGTTTTAGTACATCAAGTTAAAAATAAATGTAAATGACAAGTGTTGCTTTGGTAACTAGCTGAATTTTTTTAATTCTTTATTTCCGATAACGTTTATTTTACTTCAGGTATCCTTAGCCCTAGTCTACTATAATAATCCTGGATTGTTTTTTCTTCTTTTTATTGTCCTGCACAGTGTTGGGGGTAACGCATTACAAGTAACGCGAGTTACGTAATCGGATTACTTTTTTCAAGTAACTAGTAAAGTAACGCATTTAATTTACAAGAGAATATCGGAGTTACTTTTTCAAATAAGTAACGCAAGTTCCTTTTTTTTCCCAATTTATTGATTGACAGCTCTCCTGTCCCCATGTTGAGAGAAATCAGAAGATGTTACTGTAGTTCTAAAATAAATATGAATATGCATTCATTCATCTCACTTACAAAAAACAACACACAGTTCAGTATTCCTCAAAATGAATAAAAATAATGCAAATCAGAATATGATGCGAACCTGCAATAATTAAATGTTAAACAATACAAATATCCTTTATGTATTTAATCCCATTTTATTAACCAGTGTCTTTGCTTCTGACCTTCGATGATCCAGTTCAACCATACTAATAAGCAAAAATGACTCTAGACAACTTTTTTTACTGCTGAAGTGTGTTGAAATTTCTTCTTCTGCATTCTACTGTACGGACGTAAATGTACTTTCCCTTCAGCCCGAGGCTTATTCATTTCACTTTTGGTGTGAAAAGGCTTTTATATTTGCCAAAAATAGTACTTTTTTATTTTAAAAACAAACAAGCAAGCCCTGTCCAGATTTAAAAGTAACGGAAAAGTAACGTAACGCATTACTTTCCATAAAAAGTAACTAAGTAACGTAATTAGTTACTTTTTTATGGAGTAACGCAATATTGTAATGCATTGTTTTACTAAGTAACTTTCCTCAACACTGGTCCTGCATATGATTTGTGTATATTAATTTAAACAGATTCCACCAGAGCCCTTTACGAGAAGAAGCTGAGAGAAGCCATGACTAAACACAGAAGAACTAAAGCTCAATCCGACAGGACATTTTACAGGGAGGAGGGTAATTAATTAATTAACACAGAACACGAGCATCTAGATGTAATGTCATATTACACCAATGATTTGAACTGATTACACTTTTGCCTTAGAGGATGTCACCTATGTTCAGCATCGCAGACCTGTGAGTACTAACACCTATTAAAACTAGTTTCAGACTTGTTTCCATGAATACATGAATAATGTTGCATTTGTGTTCATTTAGCAACGATACATTGATGTGATCGACAGGTAAGTCAGTCTGAATATTAAAGCAGTTTAAATCATGTTATGCTAAAATACTGAAACTAACAAGCTCCTTTTGTTTTGTTAGAACGTGGTCAGATTATAGAGGGATGGACTACATAGATGAGTAAGATGGCTTTTTTTGTGTAGAATTATACTGAAAGTGTGTCACCATCAGGGGAATTATTATTTTTATTAATTGAATGCATGAATTTATTTTGAAGGCCTGCCATGTATAGGACTCAAGCTCCTTACCGTAATATGTCACAAGCAAGAAACTTGCCACCAGAATCTCAAATCCAGAAAACACCAGAGAAAAGTTCATCACGCTTAGTCCCAGTCTGGCTACAGTTTTTAGTGTTTCTGATCATATCTGGTCTTCTGTACTTTGTTTTTATAAATATGGAATCAGCAGAGCCTGTCAAAAGCCTGATGTAGATTCCGTGTGATTAAAAGGAATCTTTCATTTCTAAAACAAGCAAATATTCAGCACAATAGATGTGATTTTTAACATATTGTAGTGTTGTAACTTCTTAAATGTTGGTTACTTTGTGTGTGAGGTTTTATCAAAGTAATAGCCTGACACTGTACTCATTTGTGAAAATGAAGGAAGTGGGTGCTACAGGATGCACCTGTCGAAAAGATGACTTTTATGATCTTTTATTTTGTTCCTTGGTCAAGATACAATTGTCCATTGTAATGCTGCAATACATTTTACAGTACTGTATTTTTAGTAATTTATTGGTCTCATAACAGTTTGGTATATCACAACTTGACTACTACTAGAAAACTTCAAAGCTTTTTCGTATGAATTACACAAACATATTTTAAAGGATAAAGGGTTACACTTTACTTGAAGGGGTGTGCATAAGATTGACATGACACCTTCATAATCATGACATGATATGTCATGAATATGAAGGTTTTTTATGCATATTTATGACAACTGTCATTAAGTGTCATTCGCTCAGTTATGTAATTTTTAATGCAAAGATGACATTGTTTGAGATGTCTTTGTTATGGGCTATGGTTAGGGGTAAGGGTAGGGGTAGGGTTAGGTCAAATAATGTCATATTTGCATTAAAAATGACATAACTGAGCGAATGACACTTAATGACAGTTGTCATAAACATGCATAAAACCTCCTTCATATTCATGACATGTGTCATGTCAGTCTTATGCACACCCCTTCAAGTAAAGTGTTACCGGATAAAGTTACTGAATTTAGTCTTCATTATTTGACAATAGGTAATAAGCTGATTTTCCATTGTAATATGTCTGAAAGTATCATTTTTGGATTTGGGTTGTACTCTGAATTATGTATTTGAATATCCTGGAGCCAAATGAAATGAATGCCAGAACTGATTGTTTCTGGTGTTTTGTGATTTAAAAACTACAGGTTTGATTAAAAGGAACCTTTTAGATACATATCAAATTATTTTTTTAAACAGTAAAAACACTATGCATGTCAAAATTGTGATTTTTGTTTTTAATGGCAAAATAAAAGTCTACAAAGTTTATTACACGTACCAAAAACTGCAACAAATCTACAACAATTAACTCTCCACCTTACAAGACATGGATGTAACAGGAAGTGACAGCTGTGTTTTCACTCAACTTTTTTAATATTATTTGAGCATTTTGCTCATTTACTATTGTTTTCATGGGTACAAAACATGTATAAATGCAAACTGAACAAGCCTATCTGGGTTTGTAATCTTTCAGTCTACATATGACTTGGGTACATTTAGCTTTTCCTTTTAAATATGGAGTGTATATACTGTACTGTAGTGTTCGCAGCTGGTTTCTTGGCTTCACTAGACAATAGTAGTGCTGCTTCAAGTATTTAGTGTATGCCTATAATTCACACTACAACCTTTATTACTATTACTGTTATCAATTATTGTTTATATTTGTAAATACAGGGATTATTTCCTGTGCTGTTTTAGAAATGTGTCAGAGGATTTGTTCTTTTGTCCGTGTAAGCATCCCATCAGATCTAGTGTATAATGCGTTCAGAGAGCCCACTTTCATTTCAAAAAGAACAAATGAACAATCCAGGTAAAAACACAATTAATAATACTTTCATATCCCTGTAGTGACCTAATGCGAAAGAGGTTGTTCTTAGGCTGTCTGTCCCACCTGTGATTAACCAAACATAAGAACCATAGTAGAAAAACAATATATCCTTTTAAATTATAAAGCCCCTTGAAGAATACAAAGAAGAAGAAAAAAAACATTTCACAGTTTTACAGTCTTTACCTGCAACAATATGGAAAGACCTCAGGATGGGTCAGGCATGGTACCTCCAGAAACTAAAAAGCCCTTTTTAACCTTGTTAGTGCAACAGCTTGTGTTGTAATGTCACCCCTCTTCAAGTCTAGTGATGTCAGCATTTACTTTCAAAGAGAAAAAAAAATGTCCATCTCCAGTAACATTGAAAGAAAAACCTCCAACCAATGACAATGGAAATGTTTCTCTGTGACTGACAGAGAATGGCAGCTAGTAAGAAATGGTGGTTTCTGTGGTTCTTCAAACTTCGATCTTCCCTTTGGTTTGGACAGGCCACTGAAACACCAACAAGTCACCAGTTTCTAGTTGCTGAAACAAAACAAAACAAACATGCAAAAATCAGCACACGGATGTTACTTTTTTACATGATGCCTTCATTACTTTCTGATTCATTGTCCCGTGCCTGTGCTTTTTCTCTCCTAAAGTAATACGGAGCAATAAAAATGTATTTGTACTTGTTTAAACTAGAGTTTTAATGCCTTCACACAAGTACTCATCAATATGGATGTCTACCGTTTCGTTTCCAATTGTGAAACAATAGCCCAGACTAGAATTTCCACCTTGTAGACAAAGCGCATGTACATTGTATCGGGCTGTGTGTGCTGCTGACAAAATTTTCGTCATGCGCAACCTACACATACCCTAGCGTAAGCATAAAAACTGAAGCATACTTTGGGCTTTATTCAAGTCTTAGTGCTTGTTGCCACAACAGATACAATTCACAACTGGTCATGTTGTGCATGATTAGGAAAAAACTAGCCCTCCTCAAAAAACAACAACACACAAAACAAATAAAAACAATTCACATGACCTTCTTTTAGAACTTCCATTACTTGATTGTCAAGGCAATGTATGTGTTGTCAACACCTGTAATCAAAACATAACTTGTCAGTAAAAGAAACGCAAATTATTAAATAGTTTTTGAATTCACAGTTACTCACAGGTCCTGCTCTCTCGCTCCAGTTCAGTGGGTTTGCTCACTCTCTTGCAGTACACTTTGGCAACAATCAGAATGGCACATGTGGCCACCACAAACGTCAAACTGGACACCAGTAAACTGATGAACACCGGGCTCATCACCGGATCTACTTCTGACATTTCAATAAAACGGCAAACCAAACTAATGTCCTTAAAGTTGTAATAAAACAGAAAAAGCGACAGATCACAGATATTTGCTTCAGTATTGTGAAGTACATCCAAGTGTATAGAAGCCTGTTCCCGCCACGGAATAAAAAAGGTAATTGCAACTTTTTAATCTCAGTTTATATCTCAATTCTGACTTTTTTTCCTTAGAATTTTACATTTTTCAATTCGGTTTAGAATTTTTGTAAAAAAAGGTAATTGTGACTTTTATCTCCAATTTTTTTCAGGGTTCATATCACGCAATTCAGATTTTTTTTCTCCCTCAGAATTCTGAGTTTACATTCACAGATATTTGCTTCAGTATTGTGAAGTACATCCAAGTGTATAGAAGCCTGTTCCCGCCACGGAATAAAAAAGGTAATTGCAACTTTTTAATCTCAGTTTATATCTCAATTCTGACTTTTTTTCCTTAGAATTTTACATTTTTCAATTCGGTTTTGAATTTTTGTAAAAAAAGGTAATTGTGACTTTTATCTCCAATTTTTTTCAGGGTTCATATCACGCAATTCAGATTTTTTTCTCCCTCAGAATTCTGAGTTTACATCGCACAATTGTGTTCTAATAGAAAATGTAATTGTGCATTTTTATCTTGCAAAATAGTCTGACTTGCGAGATAAAAAGTTTTACTTTATTTTGTGGTGGAAACAACCTTCCATACGAGTGTGATGAATTATTGTAAAAAAAACAAAAACATTTAAATCAAAGAAACATACATGGATGAATTGATGAATATGAATTATTGGTTACACTTTACTTGAAGGGGTGTGCATAAGACTGATATGACACCTTCATAATCATGACATGACACCTACATAATCATGACATGACACATGTCATGAATATGAAGGGTTTTTATGCATGTTTATGACAACTCATTAAGTGTCATTCGCTCAGTTATGTAATTTTTAATGCAAAGATGACATTGCTTGAGATGTCTTTGTTATGGGCTATGGTTAGGGGTAAGGGTAGGGGTAGGGTTAGGTTAGGGTTTGGTCAAATAATGTCATATTCGCATTAAAAATGACATAACTGAGCGAATGACACTTAATGACAGTTGTCATAAACATGCATAAAACCTCCTTCATATTCATGACGTGTCATGTCATGATTATGAAGGTGTCATGTCAGTCTTATGCACACCCCTTCAAGTAAAGTGTTACCGAATTATTTAGTAAATAAAGAATATAAAATGTGAAATTTCATTTCATGCGAACTTCAAAGGAACTGTTGCTTTTATCCTGAATTACAGACGACTCTTTGTGCCTTTTGTTCCATTGGAACCAATGGAGCTACGATCAACTTATGCTTACGATGCTTTTAGGAAACGCAGCCCAGGCAATTTTAAACATCCCAAGTACCCCTGGGCTGGAAGCGTACAACTCACCTCGAATAGAGATGGGTAAAGGCTGACTCTCCCTCGAGATAAATGTGCGCTCTCCAGTCTGGACCTTGTAGAGACAGCAGTAGTAGCCCTCATTATTGGACTGGGCATCGAAGAAGGTAAAGGTGACGGAGGGAGTGAGGGCTGGCAGAGAGTGCCGGATGGTCCCGTTGGGCCTGATGAGCCGCAGCTGAAAGGATCCTCCTGGATACTGAGGCTGCATGGAGCAGGTGACGTTAAAACTGTGGCCCCGAATGACCCAACCCGGCCGGGCCTCAGGAGACGTGTTGTACCAGATTTGGGGAGTGTGAATCTCCACTGAGAATAAGAAATAAAGGTCAGTCAGACATTTAGCACTCCATTACAAGTTTAGCATCAGATGTGACTTACAGACTGTGATGTTAATGAAGTTGCTGTATGGAGAAAATCCTGAGGGAGAGTTTCCCAGTTTGGTGTGTATCCTGTAGAGACAGCTGTAGCTGCCCTGATGGGAGTTTTCTGAGTCTGACAGAGTCAGATCCACCGTCATTTGTCTGGGATCTGCTCTCTGGGTCACTAGCGGAGTGTCCACACCTCTTTTGTACAGATGGAAGTCAATGACGGACTGCCAGTATGGGGCAGTGCATTTAAAGTGAACGGCCTCTCCGGCCGAATAGGTGTAGAAGCGAGACTGAATTGACAAGGTGGGTGCTAGAAGATTTCCTGGTTGGAGAAAAAATTATGAACAGCTACAAACAAACACGGGATGCGTAAAATAAATACAAATCTTTCAAACGCTCTCGTACCTGTGCACTCCACTCCAGCATCCTCACTGTGCATACACACATCATCATTGAGGGTGCGTTCACACAGATCCAGGGCAAACTCGTCACCCGAGCATTTCACATTCCTCCACAGCACTTCTCCACTGGCCCGTCCGAAACGAGCGCTGCCTGGAATGTCCAACACGAAGCCGCAGTCGAGCTCTCTACAAACCACTGTGGCATCCTCCAGATCCCAACCACGCTGGCACACGGTGCCCCACTGATGCCCATGACGCACCTCCACTCTACCCGAGCACCGCTCACCTGCTTTTTCATTCACAAGTCTGGTGATCGGGTCGTCTGTGGAAATAATGGGAATGAACCAGTGTTGTTATCCTTAGCTGAAAGTAAAACTGTTTCAACTACCAGAAATGATGACTACTAAAGCGGAAATAAAATAAAATATAAAGCAACAAAAATCTATAAACTTAATAAGCTAATATACTAGAATTACTAAAAGTTAGATTATAAACTGACATATTGAAATAAAGCTAAATAGAAATATAAAAAAAACCAAAACTAATAAAAACGATAGCAAGCAAAGCAGATAGCAAAATGACTACAACTAAAATGAAAATATAAAAATAAAAGCTAATTCAAAATATTAATAAATACTATAATTGCATGCTTATGAATTAATCAAATCCATATTTTTTGATTATTGATCAGTGGCTTAGAATAGTGCTTTTCAAAGTCCACAGAAAACCCCACACACCAAATTAATACAATTGTTTTTTGTTTTTTTCAACTTTCAAATTAGATATATTTTTTTTCTTTAGTTTTTCTTAACTAAATATTTAGTAATATTTAGTCACTTAATATAAAGTATATATCTTCCAGAGATTAATTTACTACAGTAATTTAATTTGAAATGTATCTTCAGTTATGCTTAATTTATTTCTCACACAGTATAAATAAGTCTCTATACATTGAAAATAATCTGCTTTTATAATTTAAGAAAGGGACAATAATATTTGAGAGTCCCTGACATATAAAACCCCTACTGTAGACAATATCATAAAGTCAGAAACTCACCAAAGGCTTGAACATCTTCAACAGTAACAGTGCATCCTGTTAAAGAAGACAAAGCATGTTTTTAGGCTTTTTGGAACTGTGCATGGATCAAATGTACCATGGTTGCAGCTGCTGACAATGTTCAGGTCTCCTATAATACATATTTTTAATAAGAAAGGAATACATTTTATAAAAAAAACCAAAACTAATAAAAACGATAGCAAGCAAAGCAGATAGCAAAATGACTACAACTAAAATGAAAATATAAAAATAAAAGCTAATTCAAAATATTAATAAATACTATAATTGCATGCTTATGAATTAATCAAATCCATATTTTTTGATTATTGATCAGTGGCTTAGAATAGTGCTTTTCAAAGTCCACAGAAAACCCCACACACCAAATTAATACAATTGTTTTTTGTTTTTTTCAACTTTCAAATTAGATATATTTTTTTTCCTTAGTTTTTCTTAACTAAATATTTAGTAATATTTAGTCACTTAATATAAAGTATATATCTTCCAGAGATTAATTTACTACAGTAATTTAATTTGAAATGTATCTTCAGTTATGCTTAATTTATTTCTCACACAGTATAAATAAGTCTCTATACATTGAAAATAATCTGCTTTTATAATTTAAGAAAGGGACAATCATATTTGAGAGTCCCTGACATATAAAACCCCTACTGTAGACAATATCATAAAGTCAGAAACTCACCAAAGGCTTGAACATCTTCAACAGTAACAGTGCATCCTGTTAAAGAAGACAAAGCATGTTTTTAGGCTTTTTGCAACTGTGCATGGATCAAATGTACCATGGTTGCAGCTGCTGACAATGTTCAGGTCTCCTATAATACGTATTTTTAATAAGAAAGGAATACATTTGACTAACCAAGCATTACCAGGCCCAGAAGAATCCTCGACATTGTAGATTTCCCATGTAACGCAAGTACCAAGGCTTTAGGCTCATTTAATATCTAAATGTCTCTGTCAATATCAGCAATCCAAAAGCTGAGAGGAGGACCAGGAGCAAGTTGATGCATAGCACCTCAGTCTACTCGGCTAGCTGGCTAACTAGCACTTCTCAATGCATAAGTTGTTCCTGTTCACCTCCATGTAATTGATACAAATACATTATCTATCATAACTCATGCTTCAAAGAATAGGCTAATAGTCGATAGTAGCAAATAGCACATAACATTTAGCTGTAGAACCGGACGGCTAATATGCTAACGTTGCCCTAAAGTAAAGAGAGCGAGATAAAAGAAATACCGATGTATTTGCAAAGCATAATCGAGTAAATATGTAGTCAGTAATGCTTTGTGGGTTGCTATTCCCACAAACAGCGCGATAATGCAGACTGGCGACGTCCCATTTCGTAAACGACTCGTTCGTTTGAATCGGATCTTTTCAATAAACCGCTAAAACCAAACCGAATCAACGGAACGAAACGAAACGACTCACAAGAGCGTTTGCAGTGAAGCGAGGATTTGACTGATGGGTGGTGCGTGAAGTTACTTTTGATTGTATGTCGGGTTTAATAGTTTAATTATTAAATTACAGCTAATATTTATATTGTAATACGTTACGTCGGACGCACAAGAATCACGGCCTGCGGCCCAATGTGCACGCTATCCATGCTAAATTCTATGTAATAGTCATTTCAAGACTATTTAGGGCAGACAGGGTGGATAGTATGCACATTGGGACGCAGGGACGGAATTGTCTTTTTAACTGATTCTTTGAAATGAACTGTTCATATGAGTCGATTCGCGGTAATGAGTCAGACGTCCCATTATTCAGACGAGGAGAATGTACTGTAGATGTTTTTTTCTGTTCTACGACGTTGCGCAAGATCTGCGCACAAAAACGTTCACGCTATTTTTGCTTAAAACGCCGCAAGGCTTAAAACTTAAATGTTAAAATAAAAATAAACCTTAAAATTGAACGACGCCATAAATCTAAATAGCATATCGCTCAGCTATGAGATCTACAGTAGCCTACTACAATTTTATGAATCAAAATATCACCAATTAGTATTAGCTGGAACATTAGAACCATAACTTTTATAATAAGGGTTGGTGAACAGTTTTGACAACTGTTCAGGGGTAAGAATTCATGTGAATAAGCGTGTAGCGACATCAAGTGGATAAAATGAGAATTACACTTACAGCTTTCCCTTTAACTGTCCATTCACCCTCCCCAAATTTTGTTACAGTATTCATTAATCTTTGTTAAAAATAATTAATAAAAATAGAACTGTTCAGTGTTTGTCAGTATTAGCTGAGGTCCAACTTTACAACAATGTATTAATATATACAGGCTACAATAAACAAACAAACAAATATAAACTTATTGTAAAGTGCACCCGACATCAAGACATTGACTTTTGCAAACAATACAATTTTACAGAAAGCTAAAGCATAAATATATAAAACGTGAATTTAGACAAATTTAAAAAATAGAATAAAATAATTTCCCCAACTCAAGGTGGGAGTCAAACAAGACTTCAAAGTTTGAATGATATATTTGTCATGCAAATATGTTTGTGAATTAAACCAGAAAACAGAAGTTCAACGGCTCTTGCTTGCCCTTGTTCGTTTCATGTTCCCTATTCAAATCGTGCAACTTTTAAATCATTTCCCTCATTTTAAGTGGATCCTAAACTCACATTTAAATTCACATTCACACGTTTAAATATTGTGACCTTGGACCAGGTTATCACTTCAATGATATTTCTCGTTAATAGAATAATTAAAACAATTATATTATTAAAAAAGAATATTAAAATAATTTAATAACAATATAAAACATACTCACAATGCACTTTTAACGTCGACCAAATGGTAAAATCTACATCTTTCTTGAGTAGTGCAAGTTTTTAGCCCATTCACGTGCATTATTCCGTTTCCTCTCTCACCGACCTACTTCTGTTTAATTGGATAAGCATCAGTCTCTACCTAGAGAGAGAACGAGCGCGAGACCGGCTATCCACCTGCACATAAAGCGTTCATGGAATCTGCACATTCCTCGCTGACGTCACGGCCGATGCAATAATAGAACAAACGTCGCGACTCGCGCGAAACAAGCTCTCGCGCTCTTCTGTTATGTTGTTATAAAGTGCACTTTGGAACATTTCCTCGCGACAGCGCTACACGCGCGGAATGTCCCACGGAAGCGCAGGCGAACAACAGGTGGATTCCGAGGCCAATCCAGACCTGGAAGTAGCCATACTTCTGTGTCTCTCCGCCCCTGTGAGTAACCATAGCAAAGAAACCGTAAAATCCAGCGTACCGGAAAGAAGCTGCATAACACGCTCGCGATATGGATAATTTCAGCGGTGACGCGACACTGGGAGCATTACGGACAAGACTGACCACTCACACAGTTTATTCGGGATTATGTCACTTTACATCTGATATCGTCTTCTGATACACAGAGGCCGTGTTATTTCTATAAGAGAGTGTTTGTATTCTTTTGGAGTCATCATGCCTGTCAGTAACGGATCGATGATGGATTTGCCCTCGGAGTATGTGAAAGTAAAGGCCCATTACGGAGGGTGAGTGGTGTAAACTTTTACAGGGTTCATGTTTTAAAGCTGGCCTGCTGTGTTGTGGCGTCAAAGGTCGGAATATGCCCGACGTTTGGCAGTTTAATGTAACGTTAAGCAGAACATGTTTGCAAACGCACTTCACACCTGATAAACTTTGACATCCTTGAATACTTTTTCAGCGTAAGATAGGGTTTTAAACGGCATATTTTGTGTTTTAGAGACGTTGTCAGCTGAGGCATCTTGCCGTTTACAATATTAGACATGTCGTAAAACATCCAGGCCTTTTCTTGCCAATAGTAAGAAATTACATTGAAATGTTTAATATAGGCCTATTCTTAATCTCTTAAATATGAAATGTTGCAAATGATTTTTAAAGGTGCACTTAGTTATGATAATTAAAAAGTTTTACAAATAAAGAAATGATCAATATTTTTGACCAAAAAAAACATTAAAAGTATGAAAACTTTAAAGCTGATGGGTGCCACCATATTGATATCACATGCCATAGCCATGCCATACAATTGACTTAGTTACTGGAATGGTTTGACCAGTCTATGGTTTTGACCAGCTTAAAAAAAAAACACTTACTGAGTGCATGTTTATGCAATATGAAATATTGTTGTGGGCTGAAGGTTGTTCTCTTATTGCCACTTGTTGCTCAACACACCTCTCTTGTTATATTATATATAATATGCTGTTGCATACTTCTTTGAAGAGGATTTTTATAAAGCCAAGTTTCAGTCTTCATAATTCATAAAAAATAATCTCCTAGATTACTTATAAAAATACCAAAAATGCCACACATGACTTGAATTGACTGGGCTGGTTTTGACCCCCACTGTGGCTTCTTACATTATACTTTTTTTTTTTTAAACAACAGTGAATTGTTTTTCTTCTTGATGATACTCCACTGCCTTTAAAATCTAGGCTATATATTTTGTTTAGATGTTCTTTGCTAAAAGTGGCCATGATGTAAGCAGTCAGGAGAGTGTGAGATAACAGAAACACGCACTGTCTGCATACATCACTGTGAATCATTGTTATTAATCACATCATCACTCGAAGACGAACAGCTTCAGAACACAGCGGGTGATATCGCCCACCTTTTAGTCAACAATGTGAATGATACAGATTCATTTCGAAACCTCGGTGTCTAAGTCGTAATAGCATTCTTAAAGGGAAAGTTCCACAAATATAAAATTGTCTTGATTTACTCACCCTCATGTTGTTCCAAACCTGTATGAGATTCTTTCTTCTGCTGAACACAAAAGAAGATATTTCAAAAATGTTGGTAACCAAAGAGTTGCTGGTAGCCATTAGAAATAAATAATGTGGAAGTCAATGGCTACCAGCAATCGTTTGCTTACCAACATTCTTTTGTGTTCAACAGGTGAAAGAAATCCATACAGGTTTGGAATAACTTGAGGGTAAGTAAATGATTACTTTTTTAACTAAAGTGAAAACATTTTTTGATGAATAATGAAAATAAAATTCTTTCATTATTTATGAAAATTGTGTGACCCAAAAATATAAATTCTGTCATTTACTCATTCATTTCTTTTGGTGAACTATCCCTTTAACCCTTATCTTGGTGACAACTGGTAGTAATATTAACTTCAACACTATGATTTAGAGGAGAGCGTACCAATCAAATGTGGCCGTTTATGTAATATTTATGCTGTTTTACATGAGGAAAAATGAAATCAGCTTTGCATGATTGGATTTTACTCTCTTTGTTTGAAATATAGTATTTAACTTCATGACTTATTTGAGTAGTCAAATAATGAGGAACATAGATTCTTCAATTTTTATTATATATATATAGTCATCGGCTGGTTGTTTTAAAAAATATGAATGTTGTATAAGCATACCGTAGATAAATGCATGAGATAATGCACCATAACTCATTTTTGGACATAAATGTACTTTACATATTATGTCCTGCTGGCTCGGTGGGTGGAGATACAGTAGACCTTTGATTCAAAAGCACAATTACCTGATTGCGTGCCAGCGAACCTGCTATAGGAAGTGAAGAGTTCCTCCGTGTCTGTGGAAGTGTGAATTCCTCTCTTACATGAGTGTGTAAAGAGCTCTCCGAATTTGGGTCAGGCTTTTCGGAGCGTTTTGAAAGCCTTGGTGATTTCCACTTCTAAAAATATTTTGGAGGAAGTTATTACCAGGCGGGACAGAAATCTTGGTGACTGGCTGACAACCTGAGCCAGGCAGTTGCCTAGCAACAAGTTATAATGGCTTTTTTTCACAGATTCCAGGCACTATTTATTCGAGCACAGGCCTCTAGGTTTCAGTCCAAGACGTTTCATTGTTGAGCAATCAAGAAAGAGATTAGATCGTTTTAAATAGCTCATCTCAGAGGGGGGAATTGCTGGATCCTCAACATTGTTGACCCTGTTAGTCACCTGAAGGGTCACATTTTGTAGCTTTGTACATTTTGAATAGGCAGAAGTTTGTCATGCTGGTAGAAAGTGCTTTAAGCTGTTTTACCATGCATGCATAAAATGTCCCTGTTACCTGACAGATACTGAAATTGTTGTGTCATTGACAGCCCTAGGCGATGCAAGCAGCTCAAAAGTGTCAGGGGAGAGGCCTGGACTTTTTTTTTTAGCCAGTCAGAAGAGCTTTCTGCTTGTCAGTCATTTTACAAGTTTAGGGAATTTTTCAGTGGACTTTTGTTTTTTAGAACAAACAATAAAACACTGTTCAAAGTTTGGAGTCGATACGATGTTTTTAATGTTTTTGAAAAGTCTTTTATGTTCAACATTACCATTTGTTTGATCAAAAATACAGTAATACAGTAATATTGTGAAATATTATTAAAACATTTTTAAATATCTGTTTTCTTTTTCAATATAATTTAATATGCAATTTATTCCTGTGATGACAAAGCTGAATTTCCTGCATCATTACAGTGTCACATGATCCTTCAGAAATCATTCTAATATGCTGATTTGATGCTCAA